ATAAATAAAATATTTGAAATTTCTCTTACTAAAAAAATAACTTTAGGGGCTGGGCACCACAGTGTGTATCTATAATTCCAGTTACTCAAGAGGCTGAGGCGGGAGGATTGTGAATTTGAGGCCACCTTGGGCAATTGAGCAAGATGTTGCCTCAGAAACATTTTTTTTTTAAACTGGAGAGCCTGTCTACTCTATTTAGCAATTATTATACATTTGTTTTTCTGAACTTCAGCTTTAGAACATTACTTGTGGAACATTACTAATTTAGCTTTTATGTAAAAGCATAGAGGCATGTATGTTTTAAAATAATAATTCAACCGGGTGTGGTGGCACACGCCTGTAATCCTAGCACTTGGGAGGCTGAGACAGGAGGATTGCTGAGTTGGAGACCAGCCTGGGCTACATAGTAAGTTCCAGGTCAGTCTCAACTACACAGTAAGACCCTGTTTCAAAAAGCCAAAAAAAAAAAAAAATTCAAACCAGAAAAATGGAAATAAGGATGAATAATTTTGCTGTCACCAACTTACTGAGTCAGACCAACAGGTACACTGTACAGATGCATTATGTCTGAAACAAAGCCATGTTTTTCATTTGTACTTTAATAATGGACAAGAATTCCAGGTTGCAGACCAAGAATATTTCCACTGAAATTAGACACCAATTTACAAAGAAAAATCACAGTTGAACTATTTCTAAGTACAATGCTACAAACTTGATAGTTCCATTAGAAAATCTAATAAAAAACACTCACTTTTTAATAGTGAAACTAAACTACCCTAAGAGACTTAAAAGATTTACTACTAAGAGCAATATATAGACACTTACTAAGATCCTGATTTAAATAAAACATTAAAAATTATGCGACAGCTGGCCGTGGTGGTGCTCGCCTGTAATCCCACCACTCAGGAGGCTGAGGCAGGAGGATCAATGTGAGTTCGAGACCAGCCTGGGCTACATAGTGAGTTCCAGGTCAGTCTCAACTACATAGTCAGAACCTGTCTCAAAAAACCAAAAAATTATGAGACAAGTGGTGAAGTGTGAATACTGACGATATTTAAAGAAAAACTCATCATGGTAATTTTTTAGATTTATTTTTCCATTATAGCTTAAATATAAAGAAATGCTAGCAGTCTGTCCAGAAGCACAAATCTGGGACTAAAGCCAAGATTAGCTAGTTATCTAGTTTATCTTTCCTCTAAACTGATAATAAACACAGGTTTCCCCCCCTTTCCAAGAATGACAGAGCTGGTGCCTTTGAAACAACTGTACAGTAGCATGGCTTTATGAAGTCAATTAGAATAATAATCAGCCATTTAGTCCTTACAGTCAAGGCCTCACTATCTACCACCTCTTCTAGGTCTGGCTCAGAGAACAGAGGATACAACTGGACCACACACGATTTGAGTAACCCTCACACAACTCTGCAGTGGACTATTAAACAGAGGTTTTTTTTTTTTTTTTTTTTTTTTGGTACTGGGGCTTGAACTCGGGTCCTTGCTCTTGCGAGTTAGGCTCCAGAAGCACTGAGCTAAATCCCCAGCTGCAGTGGACTATTAAGGAAGGAATCACAGCCTGGATCTAGAGTGTCTCCAAAGGTCTATATGTTAAAGGCTTGGTGCTCATAGTGGTGCAATTGCAGAGGGGTGGAACTTGCCCTGGTGGGAGGTGCTCAGGTCCCTGCAGGCTGCCCCTGGGAAGCCAGTCTCCCTTCTCTTCCTCTGCCGCTTTCGCAGCTTTCTGCTTATGAGGTAAGCAGTCTGCTCCACCATGTGCCATCGCTGTCCTGCGCTCCCTTCAGAGGTCAAAGAGCAATACATAGGGATCATGGACTGCAGCCTCTAAACCACCAGCCAAACAAACCTTTCTAAGTTTATTACTTCAGGTGTTCTGATAGAGTAACAGAAAACTATCACATAAAGGTTTTCAATTGTTTATATTATTGTAGGTATGTTGACACAGCAACAGAAAACTAAAACATAAGGTTTTTCAATTATTTATATTAAATGAATTGATAGCTGTAGAGGGTTTAACCCAGTGTCTAGATCACAGTAAAACTTTTATTAAATAAAGAATAAATTTATGTGTATTTTATAAAGATATACATGAGAATAATCTCAAAACGATAGCATAGAACCTCACTGTGAACTATATGTAAAAGTAGATGATTTCTTTTCTTCCTAAAATCCACTGCAGGGTTGGGGATATAGCACAGTGGTAAAGCACTTTCCTGGCATGCATGAGGCCCTCGGCTTGATTCCTAGCACTGCCAAGGGCTTTCTTCTTTTTTGTAGTTCTTCATATTGGTTCTGGAGATCTGAACAAAATGCATTCTAGGCAAGGGCTCTATCACCAAGCTATACTCACAGCCCCCAAGTTTCCAAGGAAGGATCTTCATCTTTCAAAAGAAATAAAATTTTCTCCTCAGAAATTATGTATTATAACCTTTTAAAAATTGACAATATATAACCATATAATAAAATCCTGAATCAGACACATTTTACATATAAAAATTCTTACCTTTCCAAGGTTTTCTTGTTCAGCAATGTTTTTGGTATACTGTTCCCTAGGGAGTCAACATAATGATTTAGATTTATTTAAATTGATTTAATCACTAAACTGAATTATATATTAACATATCTATTTAAATATATTAGGCAATACATTTTAGGATACAGGAATCAGAATGAAACCTACTATCAAATACTTTTGGCCGATGCCTGCAATCCCAGCACTCAGAAGGCTGAGGCAGGAGAATCACTGTGAGTTTCAGGTCAGTCTCAACTACATAGTGAAACCCTGTCTCAAAAAACCAAAAACAAAAACCGAAACAAACAAGCAAAAAAAAAACAACAAAAAACAAAAAAACTTTTGTCTTTCTTCATCTTTAGTCAGTTCTTCCAGTAAATAGGCAAAAAAGACAAGAGAAGGAAAAACACTGCATAGAAAATTCAGAGAATTAAGATGTTAGGTACTATTTTTGGTTAAACTACTCTCAAAAAAATGGCAGCCTTTTTGCTTAAGTTATACTTTAATACCACGATTGTAGAAAGGACAAAGGATATATATTTTTTGTTTTTTGGTTGCTTGTTTTTTTTATTGAGGTTATTGGTACAATCTAGGTATACAATACAATTACATTCATCATTGGGATTCTGTACCTTTACATAAGAGGTCTTGATTCTCATTTTTCCCCTTGTCCCTGCCCTCCCTTCACCCCCTCCCCTCCCCATTTACAAACACTTTATTTCCATTTTTTCAGTTTCTCATATTTTTTTCCTCTCCCTTATTACCTTTCCCCCACCCTTCTCACTTTCCTTACACCTTTAGCCCTTTACTACCTATTTCACATTATTAATTATCTCATTAGGATCCTGTGTACTACTATAGTTTTTCACACCAAAGAAACTATTCAGTATTTCAATTAAAGAAATTTCTGTATGAGCATTAAAAATAGGGAATCTTAAAATAAAACTAAAAAGGAAAGTAAAAGAGAAAAGGCGATGTAACATCAAAATAATCCTTAATTCTGGAGATGAAAATGGTCCCTGAACATATTTAAATTGCTTCTCGCTCTTATAGTCTTATCTTATTCTTTTTTTCATTATTTAGAGAATACTTTATTAGTTTCTGTAATCAAACCCACGTAGATATGACCTTCCTTACATATTTAGTATGATGTGTTATCCCTGTACACATGGAAAAAAATAAAATAAAATAAATTAACATTTCTAGACCAATATGGTTGTCCATTTCTGTACAATGCCAAGTCAACACAGTAAATTGGGATGACTTTTTCCAAAGTTGGGAGCACCGTTAAAGTTTCCCAAAATTCAATTTATAT